CTCTCTGTGTGCATACACATGTGTGTGTGTGTGTGTGTGTGTGTGTGTGTGTGTGTGTGTGTGTGTGTGTGTGTGTGTGTGTGTGTGTGTGTGTGTACATTCTCCTACATATTTATCAGGGCAAAGTGAAGCCCTTCAGATGTTGGACTACAAATCCCATCTGCGTCAGCCCAGAAATGTTACTTTCTGGGATGGAGTGTGTGTGTTTGTATGTGTGTGAATTTGGAAGTAGAAAAGCTCATCCAAACAATCCCCTCACCTTCTCTGCTCTCTAAGAAGTGTTTAAACATTTAGGTCACCGGGGTCAGGGCGTATCAGGAATGGAGGACGGGCCTTTTGTAAAGCTCATGGGTCTAAATGGGCCTGTTCAAGAGGGAACCATTCTCAGATATCCTGCGTCGCAACCAAGGATGGTTTGGAACAATACTGAAAAATCTGCCTAAGGAAATGACATTTTGTGGCTCGTTCCCACCAGCGCCGTCTGTGGAGCATGGGTTTGCGGCCTGACCTCCCCACCAATGCTGCTTGGGGATGATGGGAGCTGTAGTCCAACACACCCCGAAGTTGCCCGATTGGCAGATGCCGAGTTGAGGTCTCTAATACCCCCCTCGAGGGACACACGCTCCGGGGTTTTGAGTCAGCATTGGGTTTTGTTTTTTTCCCGACAGAGGAAGCCAGGAACGCACGGATGCATACACATGCGTTTCCTCTGTCGCTTTCCTCTCCCATTCAGCCGTCCCATCTGTTTCCCTGAAATGTTCTCCAACGCCGGGAAAGCAGGCGAACATCTTGCGGGACGGAAACGGTCGCCTGATGAGGAGAGCTGAAAATAACCAGCAGGATCCCGGGGTCAAGAATTGAGGGAGGCCTCCGCCCACGCTGGAGAATAATCCACCAGGATTCTCCGTCCACAACACCTTGAACTGGCTTTAATTCAGGGAAACACATTTCAGCCACATTATAGAAAGAAATATTCCTCCAGTTTCACCAAATGTTGCCCATTCGGGACTTCACTGTTCAGTCATGAGGACTAGAGGCGTACCTTTACTTCTAAAAGAAGCCAAGAATGATTCTCACTCTCTCCATAGCTGTGGTCTGCTTGTGTATGTGTGTGTTACTTTTGAATTGCGTAGCACACCCTGATCTACGAAACAAATGTCTATATTTAAGAAACAAGTACAGGAGAAACAAAACAGAAGAGCCAAACTATACGCTATAGATGACCCATTATTGGAAGAGGGAATTCTTCAGTGCTGACGGTGTGTGATTGTCACAGCGAGAAACTGCCTCACTTTTATGTTGTTTTCAAATGGCTTTGCTTTATTCTGTGAATGGCCTCAGGGAGCTAAACACTGGCTTTGTTTACAAGTCTGCTTTCTTAGACACAAAACCACTGCCTGAATCACGGGTATGATGATGAATGACCCACTGCAGAGAGCTTTGGCCACAAAGCTGCGAAAAGCCACCTTAAATCTCAAGCTGAACTTTGAGAGATCCAAGGTCAGAATTTGGAATCTGGAATGTCAGACAAGACGTGGGGGGATCCCTGATCCAGGAACATTGGTACGTTTAAATATTAAACACACACAATCCCATCAGTCTTATAAAAGCAATAACGTTTTAATGTTTTATGATGACAACAGCAATAATTCTGCTTGCCTCTTTTTTCCCTATACTTTGCTTCCCGCTCTGCAGAAGCACTTCTTAAAATATACCTGCGTGCATCTGAAATAAAAACTAAATTAACATTCAACAGCCGGGTCGTTTATGGTCCGAAGAGAGCTCTCGTCCATCATGGGCTTGGTTGATTTGCCGTTGGCGCTCAGGAGCCTTGAGTTCAAATCCTCACTTGCCCCTCAAATACCCTGGGTGACCCTGGGCCAGGCACGCCCTCGGAGCCTGAGCTACCTCACAGGGTTGTCGTGATAAAACGGGACGATGGAGAACTAGATATGGCTGTTGGAGCTTAGTGGTGACCAAGTGGGTCAGAAGTGAGATGACTAAATAAATAAATTAAACCTGGCTCATAAAACGTCCTGTTTCATTGGCCACCTCCCAAGAGTGCGTGCTCTGCTTACACGAGAGAGCAGCCCCCTATACTCTAGTGTATGAGTAGACTACAGTTCCCATCCTGCCCAAACAGGCAGGCAGAAACAAAGCCCTGGCTTAGGCCCCAGAGGAGACCAATCACAAAACAAAGCCAGCTGGTTTTCAAGATACAGGAGGCGAGGAAAGTTCCTGCTGTGGAAATCAGATGCTTTCTGTGGTTAAGGAATTCCTTTGGCTAATGAGGGGTAATCTGTAAGGTACAATTTGGCCCCAAAGACTAGTGCTTGAATTAAAGCTTGGGGAGGGGGAAGTTGCTTTTATGGGCCTTAGGACCGCCCACACGGCACGGACGGGAATCTTGTTGATCCTGTGAGTTTTACGGTGAAAAACCAACTTTTTGCAGGCTCTGCTTGAACGCAAAGCCCCCATGTTCCGCTAGCACGCCACCAGCACCACAGAGACCACGGCTTGGCGCCTATGCTAGCCGGCATCTTTGAGGCGGGGGCAGAGGGCGGTCTCATCCTGTCACCCCTGCTGAAGAAAGACTCGAGTGTCAGGCCAGTCAGCTTTGCTTGAAGGATTGAGACTGGGAGGGGGGCACCTTACAGGGGGTTTAAAAAGAAAAAAAAGAAAAGAAAAGGGGCCAGGAACGGACTCCGGAGGTCAGCCTGCTGGGAAGGGTGGTGTTCTTTTTTTTCCAGAGGCTGCCAGCTGTCGGTCGGGGGGTGGCAAAGCTGGTTTCACACAGCCAAGGGGAGAGAGAGCGCCAGGCGGCTGGACCCTTGGAGGAGAGTGTGAGAAAAATTCCAGGGGAAGAGACGAGGAGGAGGAGGAGGAGGCCAGCGTGCAAGAAACCAGGAGCCCCTAAGGAATGGCATTTAAGAGGGTCTGAAGGCACTGGGGGGGGGAAGCCCCCTCCCGCCTCCCACACCCCTCTGCTTCACCAGTTCAGGGCTACCAGCTCCCTCCTGGACCCACAAACCACCACACACCCCCCCACTTCCATGCTGTTGCCCCCCAAGGAGGCCTGAAAAAAGAGCTATAAATAACCTTCCCCTCGCCTCCTAACTGCAAGCAGATGTCTTTTGGATGTGATTTCATCCAGGCCGGCTCGAGGCGATCTAAGGGGGGAAGAGGGAAAAGCCCCGCAGATGAATGGCTGGTGGGATTCTTGAATGAGGCTCAATTCCATTTATTTGTCTTTTTTATTAAAAAAAAATGGTGTAGCCGGTCAAAGTTCCTGGGAAAAATTCCAGCGTTCCCTTTGGAATGACACACACTCTCTTTCTCATTCTCTCTCTTCTGCATCCTGGGAAAGCTGGCGAAACCTGGTATGTGCACGCGCCCCCCAGGTTTTTTGGGAAGGCTTCAGGTGGAATGCCACTGGGCTCGGTGTGTATACCAAGCGAGGCCTTAGGGAATCAGATTAATCCCATGGAGACGCAAGTTCAATTCCCCAGCCACTGACGTAATAGCAGGCTTAAGCTACGGGGAAGCCAAGATTTCGGATGAATATCCGAAACAACTTCTTAACTGTTCGAGCAGCACAACAATGGAACTAATGACCTCCAGAGGAGGTGGTGAGCGCTCCAGCCCTGGAGGCCTTCGAAAGAAAATCGGACACCCGTCTGTCAAATCTGCGTTGACGTGGCTTCCTGCCTTGAGCGGGGTGGGGTGGGGAGAGAGGTTGGACTCGATGGCCTTAGAGGCCCCTCCTAACTCCACTATTCTATGAGGCCGGGATGCTACCAGCTGCCGACCTCATCCTGCCCTAACTCAACTATTCTATGAGGCCAGGATGCTACCAGCTGCCGACCTCATCCTGCTCTACCTTGCAGGGTTGTCGTTACCACTTCCAAGAGTCTGATACAGGCCGCCTTTGTAGAATACGCAACACGATTTCTTTTTTAAAATCCTCTTTTTACAGGCCACGATCATGACAGGTTTTGCTTTTCCTTGCCTGCAAATTAATGGCCCGGATGCTCCCTTTCAGAGCCCGCTTAGAAATGGTCTCTCTCTCTCTCTCTTGATTTCCAAGGGCTCACACCATGTGGGTGGAGCAGCGCATAGCTTGCGCTTGAACATGAGGCTGGTCGGCTGGCCTGGGCTTCCTCCCATCCTTGTTCAGGATCCCCATCCCACCCATCCTGCTTCTCTCTCTCTCTCTCTTTCTGGCGCATCACGACCAACCGTCCTCTCTCTGATGCCTTTTTTGAAACTTCCACACAGAGACACCTTTGCTTCTAGGGCACAACCGTTGGTGGGAGTAGAGAGGGAGGGGGGGGAAACCCCAAACGGTCTCAAAATGAAAAGAAGACCAGTTTCGGCTCCAAGAGTGTCACAACCTGTGGTTTTCTCGAGCAGCGCTCCTTTGCGCCGGGAGCCAAAGCAAACGCTCCCGGAAGAGTGAGCGTAAACAGCTCAAGGCAGGGTGGCGAGGCGCAGCCCCCCCTCCACACACACACACAAAAGCCTTTTTTTTGGCAGCTAAAGGAAATAAGGCACAAAGACAGGATAGAGAGGTGGGGACTTCCAGAAGAGCAAAAAAGCAGGAAAAAAGGGAGCTGGAGGGGGGGGAGAGAGAGAAAAGAGGAAAAGGGTGCATGCAAAGTAGAGGGATACAGGAGTATCTCTTTTTAAAAACTTTGTCCCAATGTTTGAAAGATTGCCATTTAGGTGTCCCTCCCCATCTACTTCCGAGATTACACACATCCAGATCTCTCTCTCTCTCTCCTCTGTGCACCGGCACAAATCAAAGGGAAGGGCAGACTTTGAGAAAAACATCTTTTGGACTACAACACCCAGCGTCCCCTAGACGACCTGGCCTGGTTGAGGGGGGGGTCTAATTCCAAGAGAGGAATTTTTTTCCAAGCTTTGCAGGCGCACAAGGCGAGGGGGGGGAGAAAGAAGCCTCTCTTTGGCCTTGAACATCACCTGCTCTGCCTTCAGGGCTCATGAAAGCTGTTTAATTAAAAAAGCCCATTATGAATGTCAGCCCATCTCATGACTCCCGGCCAGTGAGTGTGAAAGGGCTCGGTGACTCAGAAAGGGCTCTTGCTGGCTTTCTCTGGGCTTAATGACTCAACGGGCAAAGATCCTGCCCTGTCAACCTACAAATGATGGGGCAGGAGGCCGCTGGCTCTCCTTCCGCGGCAGGTCCCCTTCGGTGACACGAAAGCGTGGTTTGCAAACCGAGCGAAGGAAGAAAAGAAAAAACCAGCCCTCGCTCGGGCCCCGATTGCTTTCCATGAGCAGAAAGGTGTGGCTAACCTCATCCGTCCTGGGGCTGTTGTGTTAACTTTTTTTGGGGGGGCAAAGAAACCTTGGCTGGGTTGATCAGCGAAGGCTCCTCGGTGCCTGCACCCCTACCGTCCCTAAGATGGAAGGATTGATGTAGCTCAAGGGTTAAACATCCGGGAAGCACGTCTACTGGCAATAGACTGTGGCCCCCTGTAGCTTTTTTTTGGGGGGGGGCTCTTCTGGCGTTCGATTCTATCCAACAGTCTCCGCACCTCAAGGGTTAAACATCCGGGAAGCAGGTCTAGCAGCAATAGACTGTGGCCTCCCTGTAGCTTTTTTTGGGGGGGACACCTCTTCTGGTGTTCAATTCTATCCAACAGTCTCCGTGAAACACTACGTGGGGGGGGGGTTTCGAGAGAATGATGGCATCTCCATCCATTCATCCGTCCATCTGTGGACCCAAGAAGACCCTCCGAATCCTGTACAAAGGAAGGGGCTGAAAGGTCTGGGGGAGACCACCAGGAGGAAGAACCAACAAAGCCCGCCATCCTCAGTAGGGCACCCTCCAGATGCAATGGACTACAATTCCCATCATCTCTGCCCAGGTCAGAGGCGGGGGGGGAAGTTGCACAAAGCCCTCTCCCAGAACATGGTGCCCTCATCCGGAGAAAGAGCGCCTCCCCCATTTGGGTCCCTTTCCCCCAAACCAGAAGTGGGGTAAGACACACACACAAACACACACAACTATTAACCTTTACAGTGTTTCGTTTTAATTGGGTTGCAACCGGTAGAGCTTGGAAACAAGGCTTTGGGGGATCTGGTCTGGTTGTCGTTTTGCTACCCCAAAGCCCAGAAACGACCGCTAGGAATTAAGACCACCAGAGGTTCCAGGCTTGTGCGGTTCAAAAACTAATTTGCCCGCTCACCGGAAGCCACATTGGGTTGAAACTCGGGTTCACCCATGCCCTCTTTCAGCCTCTGCCCCGCTGGCACAGCCCATGCGCCCCCCCACCTCCAGTACCCTGGATCTGCATTTGCAAAAGTAAACCCCTGCTGACAAATGCTACCGAAGGGTCACCTTAAGCACGAGAGCCATCTCGTCCTGAGCTGCAAAACTGGGGTGGAGTGGGGGCAACCATCCGTAGAGCCTCAGAAGATGCTGGGTTCAAGGCTCAGCATCTCTTGACAGATCTCTCTGAAAGACTGCCTTTGAAAGCCTTAAAAAAAGCTGCTTCTGGCCCGTGGGGCAACCACGGACCAAGTTGGGCCAGCTCTTTGAGTCCCAGAATCCCCCAGCCAGCAGCCTGGTCTTTGTAGTCCAGAAAGTTGTCTCTCCCACCACCACCCCAGATTTGTTGACTCCACCTCTAGCAGTTAGAGAAGAGGTCCCCGGGTTCGCCTGCGCCAGCCTACCAGGCAAAAATCCAAAGAAACGAAACAAGGCAAAAACTTTTGTTTCTTTGGAGGTTTGCCTGAAAAATCTTTAGCAGGTTGCTGATGCTCTTTGCGAGCCTCCCCGACCCCTTCCGACCCTCTTTTGGGGGAGCGATGGACTGCTCAGCTCACCTAGGGTGGTCCATGGTGGTGGGATATCTCCTGCCCACTTCCATCATCTCCCACCGTGAGGAACCTGAGTGGGTGGGTGGTTGGGGAGGCCTCCTCCTGGCTCACGACCCCCGCCTTGCCCTGGCTTTGGCCCTTTTCCTCTGCTCTGCCTGCTGCTGAACGGGTGGAAGTCTGAACAGGACACCCAAGGGCACCCCTCCCTCCCTCCGTCCCGGTCTCTGTCTCTCCTCCCCAAAGCCGGGTCCCTCCCCTCCTTCCCTTTCCTGGAATGTGAAGCCAAGCCGAGGAGGAGGAGGAGGAGGAGGAGGCTTAGAGCCCAGCAAAATTCCTCTTCTTTCGGACAGCCCCCCCACCCCACCTCCCTGGCATCTGCAAGGCTGTAGGGCAGCTTCCCTAAACTGAACCGCCTGAAAAAACAAACTCCTGTCTCTCAGCATCCGTAGAGATGCAGAATTAGGAAGGTGGCTGAATTGGGTGCCGGCTTAAGGCCCACGAACGGTCAGTCCTCGCTTCCCGTTCTTTCGCTTTAAAGGACTCTGGACCACCCCAAGCCAAGCCTCTTCTGTGGTGGCTTTTGAAAGGGAGACAGGGCCGCCCTGGGGACCTCCTCCATGTGAAGAGTGCAAAGCCAAGCACAGGGCTTATCTCCTATGCTCTCATCTGGCAAGCTGGGTCCTCAATGGGTCGACTTTGGGAGGATGGAAGGCGGAGCGAACCTCCAGCCGGCTACCTGGGATTGAACCCACAGGCAGAGAGATTTGGTTGCTGTACTGCCGTTGAACCATGGCACCATGAGGGGCATCCGGACGGTTTGTTTGCTCCAGAAAAAGGTCGAGGGGATCTCCCAGGCTGGGTTTATGGGGGTGAACTCTCAGCTCGGGACCCACACGCCCCCCATCAGGTCCCCTTTGAGGTTCAACATACCCCTCCTCTCCAAACTGGAATTTGAAACACGTCAGCTGGAAAGGGCAGGTGGGGGGAGCCTTCCCTGGCCTGCATTTCCTCCAGAACAGGTAGTTTTAAGGGGAGCGACCCATCAGTGGACGGGAAGGAGGCCAGCGCTGGAGGAGTGGAAATCAGGACGTAGCATGTGGTGGCACAATGGGAAAAACTATGAATTGATCTGTGGTGAATTCGAATCCAGCCATAGAAGAGGGCTCTTTGGAGGGCTCTGAGCCTTAACAGCTCTCTGGAAACTCTGGGCTGTGGCTGCCCTGTGTTTGTGGACCTTCCTTGGGCACGTGTGTATAACTTTCATAACTATGGAAACTTTCCTCACCGGCACCCCTGTTGTGAAACCGATCCGCCTGCCGAAGCAGCTTACCTCCCGTCTCCCTGCTTGTGAGGGGGGTCCTCCCCAGCCGCCCGCCCGCCGAGTTCTGCGGGTGCTTTGAACGCTTGCATGCAGTTGTGGCCCTGGTTTCTTTCCCCAGAGCAGAGCACCGGATCCTGCTGAGGCTTCCTCACTTTCTCCTCGGCCCGTTCCCTTCGCTGGCTGGATCGGGCCCTCGGCATGGTCCCCGTGTGGCTATACATGTCACCAGACCGGGCGTACGAAGAGGGGCTTTTGGGCATGACGCTCAGGTCGTCCGCCGTGCTCACAAGGGTGGGCTTCCTAGGTGTCAGAAGAGGATCCAGTTGATCCCTATTTGTTTTCTCTTTGGGCCCCACGGAGACTCTCCTTGCCTCAGGGCCCCTTTCAGAGGCGGATTTCCCCACTGTGGGGTCCGGAGTTTGGGAGGAGTCTAGGCTGTGGTCGGCATCCCCTGGGGGCCACTTTCTCATTTTCTGCTTTTCCTCCTCGTTGTCAGAGGAAGTGTCTTTGGGGGAAATGGATGCCGCAGAGACCCCACAGGGGTCCGGGCCGGCTGGGGGCGAGGGAGCCCCATGAGCCCCCCCTTCCAGCCCCACTTCGGCTTCCGCCTTCGGCTTCTTCTTTGCTGGCTGAGAACTCCTTCTGGGCAAGGTCCCCGTGTGGCTGTACATGTCGCACGACCGGGCGTACGAAGAGGGGCTTTTGGGCATGACGCTCAGGTCGTCCGCCGTGCTCACAAGGGTGGGCTTCCTAGGTGTCAGAAGAGGATCCAGTTGATCCCTATTTGGTTTCTGTTTGGGCCCCACAGAGGATCCCCTTGAATCTGTGGGCAAGGATTTCCGCACAGTAGGGTCCGGAGTTTGGGAGGAGGCTACGCTGCGGTTGGCCCACTTTTTCTTCTTTTGCTCCTTTTTGGAGAGAGGTGCCCCAGAGACCCCACAGAGGTCCGGGCCGGCTGGGGGCAAGGGAACCCCGTGAGCCCCCCCTTCCGGCCCCGCTTCGGGCTTCTTCTTGGCTTGCTGAGAACTCCTTCTGGGCAAGGTGCCCGTGTGGCTGTACATGTCGCACGACCGGGCGTACGACGAGGGGCTTTTGGGCACGGTGCTCAGGTCGTCCTGCGTGCTTCCGAAAGTGGGGTCCAGGAAGCCGTTGGGGGGCAGAAGCTCCCCACAGGGGGGCTCTCGTGAGCTGGGGGCGACCGAGACGCGTCGGAAAGCAAAGGCCCATGGCAGGCCGTTCAGGCTCCCGAACCCTTTCATCTTGAAGAACCCTGGGGGAGGAAAAAGGAGGCCCAACAAACAAGGAGGAAACAAACAAACAAACAAACAAACAAGGAGAGGCTTAGTTGGTTGCTTTGTTTTGTTTTCGCATTTTGAGCCCCTGCAAGATTTGTGGGGAAGCGAGGGGAACGTTGTGTGGTGGAGACCGGCCTCGAGGAGGCTGTGAAGCCCGACAACATCGGGGCAGGAAGTGGGTAAATAACACCGGGCTTGATGTGCGCGTCGTTGGCAAGTGCCAAAAACCGAGAGCCCGGCGGCTCTGCCGAGGGTCAGAACTGTTCCTTTTCAGACTATGACTCCCAGAGCACCCGAGCCCTCTCTGAGGGACCCCCTTGCACCCCCTTCCAGCACCCCTGGAAGCTAACATCCTGCAGCACAGGGCAGAGGCATGGCACCCACTCCTGGTGGGTGAAGGCAACACAAAGCCCATGATGTCTTGGTGTGGCTCCATCAGCAGGCATCCCCGTTCCAGCCGATGCACTGCATTTGCCAAAGTTATTTTTACCGTGGCCGCAAAAGAGGACGCAGCCCGTCCGCGCCTGCCAGCGCCTGCTTTCCGTGCGCACAAGGGTGGGGAAAGGCCCCCCTCGTCTGCTACTCCCTCTAGAATTTCTACTACCCTGTGTAGGCAAGGCAACGGGACTCCAGGTCCCATCGAGTCTCGCTGACACTGGAAGTGGATGATGGGAGTTGCAGTGCAGCTTCCGGAAGGCCACCATCTGGGCACACCACATGCAGGTAGCATGGTGTCAGCAGATCTCCAGGAAGTTACTTTTTGGGGATACAGCTCTTGAGAATCCCAAAGTCTGGGAGTTGTAGTCCGTGAAGGTAACTTTTCCAAGTGGGGGGTTCAGCACACTCTTAAATTTGTGGCCCTATTACTATCTTTGAACATTTCTGTTCCTCAATAACATCAACCCATCCTTCTTCCTGGAGCGTGTAAGCAGACTATAAGCCTTCAATTCCCTCAGTGCACCCACTGGTCAAAAGTGCAGAAGCCCTGCGAGGAAAACAGTTGGCCACCTAACCACCACCATCTGGGATGGGGAGGCCACCATCCTGTCTATTCACACCACTTTTGCATTTGGAAATTGCAAGCAAACCAAGCCTTCTGTTTCTTTAGTGCACCTTGTCAAAAGCACAGGAGCCCAGTAAAAAAAAAAAGTTGGCAACTTCACCACCACAGTCCAAGGGGGGAAGACCCTCACTCCACCCATCACTTCACCCCTTCTCCTTAGAACTCTCAGCCTCATCACCTCTTTTTTCCTTCCTCTTGAGGGTCCCGTCTGTTCATGAGAACAACCAAAAGCCTCCGCCGGTCGCCACTTACTTTTAAGTCTGGCTCCTCTTTTCTGGCTTTCAGCCATCCTTTCAGGTTTGCTGGGAAAAGAAGTGTACGAAAAGGGCATCACTTCCATCCAGCCCCCGAACCTCCCTTCCTTTCCCACACCCTGCCAGCTGCTCTCGGGTTTTCTATTTGCTCAGATCCATTTCCTCTGCTGCTTGCACAACGCGTGCGACCGCAGCCCTTATTTGCATCTATCTTTCTTGGGTTTCTTTTTTAAAAATCAAAATAAAAAACGTGTAATGCGGAAGCTTTAAAAAAAAGGGCTTGATGCTACTTTGGCAGGCCCTTTGCTCGGCTGGTTCCTTTATTTATTTGTATTTATTTATTTTTGGTGTGTGTGCGTGTGTGTGCAATCCAATACAGAGCTTGGCAAAAGCTGGTTTTTGGACTCTTAACTCCCATTATCCCCCAAACAGTCTGGTCATATGGTCCTGCTAGGCTGGGGATACTGGGAACTGTTGTCCAAAATCAATAATTCTCCTCTCTTAGCATTATCCGATTCTTGGCACTTTAAAAATGAATTAAAATGTAGAAAAAAAATGTTTTTTAGCCCGTGTTAGACAGGAAATTTGCATCCTGCTAAACGGAACCGCATTCTAACGCACACCTTCTCCTACATCCGTTTACAGTCCCAGTTAGAGCCTCGGGAACTGATGAGATTTGCACAGTGGCTGAGTTCCCTTTGAGCAATTGGTTGTAAGTTTACTTTAGCTGGGGAATAGCAACAGGATTTAGACCTCATTGCCTTATTCTCCTCCTCTGGCCCTAACAACGATCCTGCAGGGGAGGCTATGGTCCCTCTGATCCCAAAGCCAGGCCTCTGGAAGGTGTTTCCAGCATACCAGGAGGTAACTAACCAAAACACACACATCCATACAAACACACACACATGGAGAACATGTGCCTGATGCAGACCAGCAGGACCCCTGGCTGTGTTGGCCGGCGGGGCGGGGAGGCAGCATTTTGGACTTCGTAGTCCAAAAATAAACTTTCTCAGGCAAGCCAAGCTTTGGAGTTCTGCACCTGGCGTCTGCTGTTCATAGGGCAACTTTGCACACATTAAAAAAACAAAAAACAAGCTGCACATTTAAAAAAACAGAACAAAACTCGTAAAACAGATGTTTTTTTCCTACCATCTGACTGCAGAAAATAAACCTAAGAGAATGGGGAAGTCCCTTTGTGGATTCAGTCAAAAAAAACCACAACACGCAGTATGTGAATGTTAAGCAACGGAGCC